AGTAGTAGTAGTAGTAGTGGTGTGGTGGTGGTGGTGGTGGTGGTGGTGGTGGTGGTGGTAGAAGTAGTAGTCGTCGTAACCGCAGCAGCAGCAGCAGCAGGAATCCTCGTCGTCGTCAACAGTAGTACCAGCAACAGCAGCAGTAGGAGCAGAGCAGGAGTCGTCAGAAGGAGTAGGAGTCGTAAGAGTGGTAATAGTCGTAGTCGCGGAAGGAGCTTCTTCGCAGTTGCTGAATAATTGTTGCATGAGTGAGAAATGGTCATAGGAGTCAATGCCAATTGACCTTCTCCGAAGCTCCCGCTTAAGAAATCCTTATGGCACTTAAACTCCCATGTCAGTTACCCATAAATATAGGACCCGCAACAGGCCCGGTACTGGATGCTGTGAAGCTTGTGCGGAATGTGTTCTTCCTCCCTGGACATTGGCCAGAAGATCTGGTCTGGTAGCATTGCAGTTAGCCGAAGAACAACTTTATCGTGCAAGACGGGTAATGTGCCCTTTCCGGCAGGGTCCACTTGGGTGGTTGTCAAAATTATGGTCTCTTTTTTGGTCCTTATTATAATACGGCACCTATTATTTAGGGTACCCCAAAAGGGACCATCATTTTGACAACTACCCACTTGGACTTCGAAGCGCTCTGCCTCCACGACTTGCCACTTGTGCTCTTCGAACTTCTCAATCCTTCCGTTGATGCCTCGGTGCAGAGGAGTGAGGCACTCGAACCTTATAGGGTTGGGGGTTCAGACACTCTTCGCTAATGAAGAACATGGGCATGATCCCAAGACCTCCAAATTTTAAATTAGGGTTTAGGGCTCAGGGTTTAGGAACTCAAACAGGCAGCACAGTAGGACTTAGCCGACTTAGCCGACAAGCCTGAAAGCTCCAAACCCAACCCGCACCCTCTCCACCACTCCTCCGCCCCATCCTAGGCTCTGCTCAGGCATCGGCGATTTCGCCGGACCCAAGGAGCCTGGCGGTCGGGATCTTGGTTTGCTTGTTCGGGCTCAAAGATGCATCAACTCTTGAAGCACAGGGCCTTGCTCATTAGTTTCCTGAATCCGGAAAAGGCAACTTACTACCTGCTTCGGGCTACCCAGCTACCCCGATCACATTTGGAAAAAGAAGGGACAGAACGGATGGCGATGGACTCCAAAAAAGGTTGGCCACGGCTCTGAGAAGACTGCCCCTTCTTCTTCTTCTTGCCACATTTTTGCCACGGCAACCATGACTCTACGTCCTTTAGGTGCTCTGGCAATGAACCCTTCTGCTTGCTACTGCACTCGAGTGTACCGTTCGGACGACGGTAGACTTCCAGAGGGAAAACGTACATCCGAAACCGTAAACCAACGCCCTCTCACAAGCTACCGGCCTTCTCCATGAGAGGGACCAGAAGCAGAAGAATCTCGGCAGGTCTTTCAACATGGAAGAGGCTTGGGAGCTCTTGCTCGATCTGCATCCTGCTTCCAAGCGCTGTCTAGGGCGCCTGTCATGTAATATCGAGCGATGCTGATGTAAGGGTCAAGGAGCTGCGGACATGATATTCATGGGCATTGCCTTCATTTCAGGTGGCCACATGCAACCCATCTCCAACAAATTCTTGCGGCATGTGCCGCCAGAGCCTAGACACCCGGCAATCATGCTTCAAGAGTGTTGCGGTAGCATGTGGCTCCTGCGGTGGAGAGGTTGAGGTCCGGACGTCGTGGGTTTCCAGCAGGCGTGTCGTCACCGCCAGGGGCACTGCCACACGATGGTCGGTGAGGAAGCGGATGATGGAGATCACGCACATGCAAATCTGGCAGCCAAAGCTTCGGGTTGCAAGTCCTTCATGAGGGATCCTCTAGATGGCTGGTAAATGGCTGACAGACACTGCACTAATCTCATCAACTAACTGTACTCGTCTCTGCAAGGTTCTTGTTAGAACATCATGGCAGCCCACAATGTCTCAGAAGGCCGGCCACCTGAAACTCGCATTCCACGAACTGCTCATCCAACATCCGCACGTTGTCCCATTCCGTGCACTCCTCCGAGCTAAGATTCGAAACACAAAGCTGCAAGGCTCCGCCGTCATGCCCTCCTACATGGGGGTTTCCGAAAATAAGGGACCCTAATATAGTACCCTAACTAGTAGGATCCTTATTATAAGGACCCCCAAATTAAGGTATCCCTTATTTTCGGAAACTCCCACATGATTGTAGCAAACCAGCAAGACTGTCCGCTGTCCTTGGCAGAGGCGACTTGCCGAACGAGCTCATCGTTGGGTGTGCAGACTAGGTACCTCTTTGGAGAACAGGTTGTGAGATTGGAAGGAAGCGTCTTACAGGAATCCACACACACACACATTTTCCATCTGTCCTAAGCATCTGGGTGTTTCCGAAAATAGGGGACCCTAATATAGTACCCTAAATAGTAGGATCCTTATTATATGGACCCCAAAACAAGGTATCCCTTATTTTCGGAAACTCCCATCTCTACGTAAAAACCCCGAAAGATCAAAACGGCTTCTCATCGGCCTCAGCTTTCGGACACAGTAGTCAACCAAGTCGACGAGAGCATCCCCGGCCTGTTTCAAGGGCCTACTTGGAGGATCATGGGACTTAGTAAGTAAGGGTTTAGGGTTTAGGGTTTAGGGTTTAGGGTTTAGGGTGTAGGGTTTAGAGAGTAAGGTTATAAGTACCCTAATTGGGGTTATAAATATAGTTACCTTATTTATGACCCTGGTTAGGACCCTGGTTACTAAGTCCCATGATCCTCCAAGTGCAGCTGCACGTCGCTTTGTTGCCGTTGCTGCTGAGCAAAGCAACCGTGAACCTGTAACTCTGCTACACCTACAGCCCTCGGAAATAACATTGTATTACAACTACACCCCGCGGCTGTTTATCTCAGCTCCCTAAGCTCCGAACCACCCACTTATGTCACTCTTGCCAGCCCCATCTTGAACTTTCGGCCCCTAAACCCTAAACCCTAACATGCTCAGGCTCCCGGAGCCGGGCTTAGGGTAAGTCTACACCAGCAATCAAATCGGGGGGTCGCCCCTCTCAGGAGGCCACTTTGATGTGTGTTGCACTTCAGGCAGTGGGCTCGGCTAGAGGTCCAATATCTAGACGCCTCGCAAGCTTCATATAAACGACTCAACCATACAGTAACTTTCGCTCAAGCTTTTTGGCTTAGGGCCCATTGACAATCCAGCTACCGCGCCCTGCCCTGAGACAATGCTGAGCCTGAAGACATCCAAGAACCCAGATCGCCTTGATTTCCAGACTGCAACCGCAGACTTGATATTGAACACTTCATATGGGTGGTTGTCAAAATGATGGTCCCTTTTGGGGTACCCTAAATAATAGGTGCCGTATTATAATAGGGACCCAAAAAGGGACCATAATTTTGATAACCACCCATATGTAAGCCTGAAGCAGAACAGAGCCTCCTCACAGCTGGTGCGGTGGTAGAGGCAGACCTCTAGCAGGTTGGCGACCGACGCCTGGCTCCGGGATTTCCCTCCCTTCCGGCATGGTCCAAGGATCAGCCCGTTGGGCAGCCCGGAGTTATGACAAAAACTCAGCTAAAACGTCAGTCAAATGTAACAGTAACAGCGGTAGGGCCCTGGAAATGATAGCGAGCATGATGATGGCAATGCCGGGTTCTTAGACAGTACGTATCAGACAATACATATCAATAACGAGCAGGAAGAGCCATTCGAGGTGAAGACCCCAACGAAAAACCACCTCTGAACGCGCGCTTCGGCATCCTACATAATCAAGCACTACGCACCGGCGACCGAAATTCTCCGAGGCATGTGGGATGCAGAATGTGGGGGGGGGGGGGGCGGGGCGGGGGCGGGGGGGGGNNGGGGGGGGGGGGGGGGGTGTTTGAGATTGAAAGTGCGGTAGCACCTTGGCTGTAGACGTGGTCGTTTTGCAGTCAGACCAACACTTGCGGATGACTTGAGCAATTCCCGACAGTCATAGCCATGTCTGCGAACTATCGGGAGAAAAAGGTCTACGCTTCTATTTCATAATGGTTCCTTAGAGAACAGGTCCAAACAAAAAGCAATAAAATATAGGACTCCAGAACCCAGAAACAGCAATTTCCTTCCGTTTTCCAGACCGGGCAGTGTGGCCCCACAAGGCCCTACTCGTGCACCCAGAAAGTTCCACACATTACCCTTGCACACCAAAAGCCCCAAGCCCGAAACACCGCTGAATGCCTCGTGGTACACTGGAATGTACGTTCGGAGTGAGCTGAACTTCGCAATCTTGGCCTGCCCCGACCGACGAACGATTGGGCTCTGCTTTCGGAATTACATCTGACAGAAGACACTACTTAAGTGATCAGGTTCGAATAAACGATGATCCGTATAGGTCCTCAGAGAACCAAGAAACTTAGTAAGTAGGTCGTGAAATGTCTTAATAGGGCTTCTACCTACCCTGACCTTGCTTATAGCCCTCCTTACTATGTCCTCTGACCACCCCAGCATAAGACTGCCCTTGCAGGGTCTGCCATGGTTTTTCCATTTCATGGGGTGCTGGCTCTTGGAGTGGGAAACCCTAAACCCT